GTGTAGAACATTGATGAGAAGGTAAAACAAATGGACTTTAAGGAACAAGCAAGTACTGCATGGCATGCAGTTAAAAGAAAATGCCTTGGTGTTTTAAGGACTATATTATGAGATCACATAATCTAGAACCCAAAATCAGGTCACTGGGCAAAAACTACGTAGAAAAAGAGCACAGATCTGCAGAGAAGTAGAGAAGGTGAAGCTCTGTTTGTCCCATGAAAAGATAAGCACTTGTGGGTGGAATTGTAGTATATAGCCCAGTCTTGTCAGATCCTGGATGGCTGCCTGAGGCAAGTCGAGGTTGTGGCAAAACCTAAGCCACTCAAGGCAAGTCAAGGGGAGAGGCAGCCCCTAGGTGAGGGAGAGGCAGTGCCCAGTCCAGCCTGCCTGGGGTGAGATGTGGTGAGGAGCCTGCCCAGCAAGATAGGGAGATGGCATAAGGCTTAGTGTACCTGAGGCAAGGTGTGACAAAAGGTGGCTTGCGGCCTGCCCAATGCAAGACAGGGAAGGCGGAGCTTTGGTTGGTCCTCCAGATGCAAGGTGAGGGAGGAGGCGGTGTCTGGCTCAGCCCACCTGAGGCTTAGGAAGCAGCGCCTTGCCCACCAAGACCTGTGCGAGGCAAACATGCTGTCTCTTCCTTCCTCCCACCTTCCCTTCCCCCTTCAGGATGGTGGGACAGGATCAGGCAGACTGCGTCTCCCTCTCTCCCTCCTTCCCTTGGGGGGACAGTACCAGCGTGGTCTGGGAGAGGAGCCCCTTTCCCAGGGTTTTTCACTTCCAGTCTGGGATAGTCAGACTGCTCACATTTTTTTCTGAGGATAGAATGGAGGAGAAAAGAACGATATTATCTGTTTTGGGTCCCCATTGTGGAGGAAAATGGGGTATAAATGAAGTAAATAATGAATAGGGTTGAATACGGGGGGGCAGATAAAAGTTAGGTTGGTTGATAGGTGAAAATGAGACAAGGGAGACAAGAAGAGGAAAAGAGCAAGAGTCCAGTAGCACCTTAAATACTAACAAAATTTGTGGCAGGGTATGAGGTATAGGGGTCGCCAGAAGGATGGAAAGAGGAAATAATGTGGGGAAGGTAAGAGATGGGAAAATGAGGTCCTCCCTCGCATGTCCTTGCAGGTTGCCCACTGTGCAACTGGGCTCACTCTGGAGAACAGCATCGTGTAACTAGACTATAGTTTTCTTTTCTTTCTTTGAGGCTCTCGGGGGTGGGAAAGAAGGGAAAACTGAAGATGGGGGGGGGGGAGAGGAAGTCAAGTTAGCTAGGG